CTTATAGTACTACCTAAATCATTTCCTATGCTTTTTCCACTGGTATCCTACTTTCTTCTCTCCCCAAAAACCCATATAGGTCTTATTTTTAATACATATATATATTTATTTTAAAGATGTGGGGTACAATTCAAGATTAGGTATACAAGTGGTCATTACACAGGTAAAGTTTGGGCCTCCCTTTGGTTCCTACTTCACTGGTTTGAGATCAGGTATCCTTATTGGTGTTGTGTCCACACCCCCACCCCCATTCCTGACAGTCTCCTGCTACTATCCTTTTCTTATTGTATTATGGTAAATGTTCAGGGACTACTTATGAGTGAGAACGTGTGTTACTAAGTTCTTTGTGTCTGTGATAGATCACTGAAGATGATAGGCTCTAAGTCCATCCAAGTTGCTGTGAAGTCCATATGTTTGTCCTTCTTTATGACAGTGTAATATTCCATCATGTATATGTACCACATTTTTTTATACAGTCCAGTTTTGATGGGCAATATGGTTGACTCCATGTTTTTGCTATTGTGAATAGTGCTGCAATAAATATGCATGTGCAAGTATCTTTTTTGTAGAATGATTTGAGTTCCTCCAGATATATTCCCAGTAGGGGGATTGCTGGGTCATATAGAAGGTCAATTTCTAATTCTTTTAGAAATCACCACACTGTTTTCAATAGAATTTGCATTCTCACCAGTAGCATAGAAGTGTTCCCTTTTCTCCACATCCTCGCCAGCGTCTGTTGTTTGTTTTATTAATGATGGTCATTCTTACTGGGGTTAGGTGGTATTTCAATGTGGTTTTGATTTGCATTTCTCTGATGATTACTGAGGCTGAGAACTTTTTCATGTGTCTGTTGGCTGCACATATATCTTCCTTTGAGAAGTGTCTCTTCATGTCTTTTGCCCACTTTGTAATGGGGCTATTTGTTTTTGGTTTTTTTTATTCCTTTCAGCATACTTGAGCTCCTTGTAGGTCATGGATGTTAGGCCTTTGTCAGATGTACAGTTGGCAAATATATTTTCCTATTCTGTGGGCTGTCTCCCCACTCTCTTGAAGGTCCATTTAGGTTTTTTGTTTTTTGATTTTTTTTTTGAGTTGGAGTCTCACTCTGTCGCCCAGACTGGAGTGCAGTGGCCTCTCCCAGCCACCGCAGCCTCGACCTGCTGGGCTTCAGCGATCCCTCCGCCTCAGCCTTCCAAGTAGCTGGAATTACAGGCATGCACTACCATGCCCGGCTGATTTTTTGATTTATTGTAGAAATGAGGTCTCGCTGCCCAGGCGGGTCTCGAACCCACGGGCTCAGGCAATCCATTCACCTCAGCCTCCCAAAGGCATGGGATTACAGGCTGAGCCACCGAGCCCAGCTCATTTAGGTTTTTAAAGGTTATGTTTTTCTTTTCTTTTTTTTTTAAGTCTACAAACCACAGAGAATTAAACACAGATTTTAAAAATATATATATAGTATATAACAAGTAGTAAGAAAACATAATGCTCAGAAGTTCTCAATTTTTAATGCTGTGTACACAAAACTATGTATATAATACTTTATGAGTGACAAAGGATCTATTTTCAAGGATAAAGCTGAATGTGTGAATTCTGTCTCACACACTAACTTTAGACTTGAATTATAACACCAAGAGTGTTGAGGGACTTCAGCAGTCGTTATATTGCATTAGATCTCATCACTAACAAGTATTCTCTTTCTGTTTCAAAGCTTCTGCCCCCACCTGGATATTCTAGAAAATCCCCATTCCCAGTATGAGTGATGCCTCTAGTAGTTCTTGGCTCATTTGCAGAGTAGAGATGATGACACCCCTGAGTCCCAGTGAATGAAGCCTTTCCCAGATCCTGGTTAAAATCCTTCCCACTTCCCAAAATGTTCTGATCACTCACTTGTTCATATATTTATTCATTTACTCATTTGGCACATACTTATTGGGCACATTCCAGGTGCCAGTCATTGAGTGAAATGGTTCCTGGCTTGTGGAGTTTACATAGTATATAAGGAACAAGATGTTCTAAGCATATTGGTGGCATATGCCTGTCATCCCAGCTTCTCAGTAATCTGGGGCAGGAGGATCTCTTCAGCCCTGGAGTTTGAGGCTATGGTGAGCTGTGATTGTGCCACTGTACTCCAGTCTGGGCAACAGAGTGAGACTCTCACTCAAAAAAAAAAAAAAAACCCCAAAAAACAAAAAAACTCAACAAGCGTATAACTGGAAGATCTAATATCTGTGGAGACAGGTAAAGTTTCCATGAGGAAGTGACATTTAAGCTGAGACACAAAGTAGCTTGAAGAAGGGAACAGGAGCACATGTGAGTTTGAGGACCAGGGTTGCTGGAATGTTCAAAACAGTAATTAATTAATGACAGCATGTGCAAAATCCAGTGGGAAGGAGCACAGTGGATTCTAGACACCAGATGGAGAAGAGAGATTCAGAGAGTAACTGGAGGTAGTTCTGGAGACATAGGCACAGGCCAAATCACACAAAGTCTTGTAAGTCATGTCGAATGAGGATTTTTAGCTCTATCTTAAGATCAATGGGAAGCCATTGTGAGAGTATCACAATCAGGTTTATATTTTTAAATATCACTGTGTCTACACTATGGAGAATGATTGGGAGAGGAAAACAAGATGAAGGAAGACAAGTTGTAAGCACACAGCAATAGTGTGAGCGCGAGGTGCTTTTTAGACCAGGAGAATAGGGTGATGAGGATGGGAAGAGGAGCCGGACACAAGATATATAGGAAACAGAGCTAGCAGGATCTGGTGATGGGTTAGATGTGAGAGCATGGAGACAGTAAGAGACCAGGTGGACTCCTGGGTTTTTCTTGAGGAGTTAGGCAGACAATGGGGCAAAGGCAGTACCATTTGCTGAACTAGGGTACCCAGGAGCAGAAGCAGGATTGTGATAGAGAGAAAGTGAGACTGACATATTGCCAGGCAGACATCAGAGTGGAGGTGTCCAGTTTCTCAAAAAAAAAAAGGTCTGTTGTAACTTAGGAGATCAAGGCTGCCAACATACATAATCTGTATTTATTTGTCAGTGCTGTCTAAACAGGGAACAATAATTATAGTAGTATTCCAGGGGAGATCAGGGTAGCCTGTCACTGAGGCAGAAAGAAACTTAATAAATCACAAGGCATGAATACTCACATGGAAATGTTTGATTTCAGTTCATCAAGCTGTGCACATTAAGTATGTATGGCCTTTTGTATGTCAATCATAGTTCAATAAAGTGGTTTAAAAATATGATGCATAGAAAAAAAGAAATGTTTAATCTTGTATAAAAGTATACAACTTCAGATATCGAGGACTTTAAAAATATGCCAAAAGATTGAATACATAATTATCATTAAGATGGCAACGAAAAAATTATGGCTGCTTCATTCAAACTGAAGAGGCGCTCTGGGCTTTGACCTAGGATTATTTTCCTAGCTCAGAAGTAGTTGGGAAGATTTTGTTTTCTTAAAAGTCAGCCTTCCCGGAACAAAGCCTCTGTTGCTCTCTGAAGTACATTCTAAAAGAACTCTGGGTACCACTTAAATATAGAGCTAAAGTAAACACATACACTCATCAATCAAATCCCATGCCAAAAGTAAAGTCTTTTCTAATGAAAAATATTATAAAGTAAAATAGAATGCCTGATCCACTGAGGACCCAGTATGATGGTCCTGGAGGGAAGTCCAGGCATCTGTTTCCAAAATGCTGCATTGATTATTCTGATATGAAGTCAGAGTTGATGTGAAGGCGAGATATGTGTATCATGTGCTTAGCACATAGTAATTGTTCGATAAAGAGTGCCAAGTGACATCACCTGTGCAATATTCTCATCCCAAATGTTTAACCTTAATTTAATCACAAAGAAACAATCAGACAAGCCCAAATTTAGGTTCCTTCTGCAAAACAGTTAACCTGGAGTCTTTAAAATGCCAATGTTAGGAAAAATGAAGACAACAAAGATGGAGGAGAAGGAGGAGAAGAGGAGGAGGAAGGAATGGGAACAGGGGAAGAGAGAATGAGAGAGAGAAAAAGTAGGAGAAGAAAAGAATAGGGAGAATTCTTGAATTAAATGAGATGAAGACAAGAAAATAAAATGTAATGCATGATCCTAGATTGGACCCCAGACCTAAAAAATAAAACTTGAACAAGCAAACAAAAAACAACTATATTCAGCCTGCAATCCCAGCACTTTGGGAGGCCAAGGCGAGTGGATTGTCTGAGCCCGCAGGTTCAAGATCAGCCCGGGTAACTTGGTGAGACCTGGTCTCTACAATAAATCAAAAAATTAGCTGGATGTGGTAGCCCTCGCATGTAGTTCCGGCTACTTGGAAGGCTGGGGTGGAAGGATCACAGGAGCCCAGCAGGTCGACGTTGCAGTCTCTGTGATTGTGCCACTGTACTCCCGCCTGGGTGATGAAGTGAGACTCTAACTCAAAAAAAAAAAAAGTTATAAAGGGCATTACTGGGATAATCATGAATATTTGAATATGGAGCATATATTTAAAAATAGTGTTATGTCAATGTTAAATTTCCTAAGTGTAATAATTGTAGTTATATAAAGAAAATGTCCTTGTCCTAAGAGATTTGTGGTGATATGTTTAGGGAGGAAGTGACTCTATAACTAATTCTCAAATGGTTCAGCTGAAAAGCATGCACATGCGCGCACGCGTGTGTGTGTGTGTGTGTGTGTGTGTGTGTGTGTGTAGTGACAATATACAATATACATATACTATATATATAGTGGCAAAATATTGTTAATGGATTGAGATGATTATAGTGTATCATATGATTTTGACTTTCTGAAGATTTAAATTTTTTAAAAAATAACAACTAAAAATTTTTTAATGCTTACAGAGGCACCAGTTGGAATTATATATATATATAATTATACATATAACTTGGAATTATTTTGTGTCCAGAAAAACATAGACACTTAATAAACAATTAAATCATTGCTAAGGGAACAATTAAGTTAAATAAACTTTTAATTTTTTTGTAGGCAATTCACAGAACACAGACTTTTTGGAGCATCAAGCAGTGAATGACTACTGTTCCCGGAAAACTGGCAAAATAGAAACATGGCTCCATGCAAAAGAGGCCTGGAGACAATGTTTCTGGGACAGCTCTAGCTCTGACTCAGATGAGTTAGGGAAAGATGAAAAGAAACCGCGAGGACTGGTGAGGACCAGGACAGAGAGAACCCTGCTTTTCGATGAGTTTTTTGATGGAGAATAAAAATGCTATTCACTAACCCATATAATGAGTGCATTAAAAGTTTGCTTTTCTGTCAAAATCTTCAAGTTAATATATGTATTATTTTGAGGAAAGCAAATCACATTGGTAAAAAAAATGATATCACTTGGAGTCTTATGGCTAACAAGTTTGTCATATATGCTGTTAACCACTGCTGTATAACTAACTGCCTCAAAACTTAGGGTCTTCAACAACAACTATTTTTATTATCTCATGTTTCTGAGGGTTGCTGAGCTCAGCAAGGTGGTTCTTCTGGTCTCTTTTGAACTCTTTCATGATGTTGAAATCAGATGGCAGCTAAGACTGCAGTCAATCCTGAGGTTTAAGTAGGACACAGAGACAGGTGGACCGTGTCCCTCTGTCTCAGAGCCTCTTCATGTGATCTCTGCAGCAGGTCAGTAAATTTTCTTTTGCATTGGTCAAAGGATCCCAAAAGCAAACATCCTAAGAGGAGGAAACAGAAGCTGCTAGTCTTCTTAAAGGCCAGTCATCGAACTGGCTCAGTATTATTTCCACCATGTTTTATTGGTTAATGTAAGTCATAGGCCCGCTTGTGGTCAATGCAGACAGAAAATACACAAGGGCATGAATGCCAAAGTGTGGACCACAGAGGTACAGCTTTGAGACTTGCCACCACTCTATGTTTTTGAAAAGCAAATTAGATTACAAAAGACAAAGATGACAGAGTAGACTTGGCACAAAGAAAAGTGGGGGGGTGTTGGTTTTTGTTGTTGTTGTTTTTGAGTTGGAGTCTCACTCTGTCGCCCAGACTGGAGTGCAGTGGCCGCTCCCGGCCACCGCAGCCTCAATCTGCTGGGCTCCGGCGATCCTTCTGCCTCAGCCTTCTGAGTAGCTGGAATTACAGGCACGTGCTACCACGCCCGGCTGATTTTTTGGTTTATTGTAGAGATGAGGTCTCGCCTGCCCAGGCAGGTCTTGAACCCGCGGGCTCAGGCAATCCACTCACCTCAGCCTCCCAAAGAGAAAAGTGGGTTTTTAAAGAAAAGTCACAGTAATGCTATATTAGACACTAAGCTAATTTAGGTCACTTTCTTGTGAGTTAGCCATAACAGAGAGACTACAGGAGAGAGGTGGAATAATGTCAAGTGTGGAAGACTGCTGTGAATTAAAGATCAAAATTAAGTCCTCTTAGATTATGATACAGATTTTAGAACTCTTTAAAACATAAAAGAATCTTAGAAATATTCAGTCCAAAAGTTATTGCATTTATATGAATTAGCTTTTTAGGCAATTTTAAGAACGACTTTTGTGTAAAATTCAGCTACTTTTAAGCAATCCAGAGGCTTCCAAAACTTTAGTGAAACTTTAAAACAAAGAAAAACAAAAACACTCTTTTAAGCCTACTCTGAGAAAGTTCCAAGAAGAGTACACCACTTGAACTTGACATTCAGTACATTCACATCAGTCACTAAGAAGATAAAAAGCCTAAGATATCAAGGGATAACCATTCATGCTTCTTCCAAGGACAGAAAGCTATTAGGCCTAGGTATAGCTATCCCCAGGCCTTTGTGAGACCTCATCTTACTTTTTCTTCTTTGTTTTTTTGTTTTTTGTTTTTTGAGTTGGAGTCTCACTCTGTCACCCAGACTGGAGTGCAGTGGCATACTCACAGCCACCCCAGCATCGACTTGTTGGACTCTGGCAATCCTTCCACTTCAACCTTCCAAGTAGCTAGAACTACAGGCATGCACTATCATGTCCAACAAATATTTTTTAATTTAGTGTAGAGGTCTCACCAAGTTGCCTGGGTTAGTCTCGAACCTGCGGGCACAGACAATTCATTCACCTCAGCCTCCCAAAGTACTGAGATTACAGGCTGAGCCATGGAGCCTGGCTTCTTTGCTTTTTAATAGAGATGGGGGTCTTGCTATGCTGCCCAAACTGGTCTTAAACTCCTGACCCCAAGCTATCCTCCTGCCTCAGCACTCCAAAGTGCTGGGATTACAAGCATGAGCTACCATAACTGGCCTCATCTTCTCACTGTTTCTGTGGTAGGTAAGAAGTATTATTTTCCAAAAAGGATCACATAAATTATTTTGCCAGCTAGCCTTCTTGAAAAGTAAGATGCTTGAGAGTATAAACAAATCCTCACATATTATGGTCTACCTGAAAGGCTGAAGACAAAGTGGGGTGAACAACTCCCAACATTGGAGACAGGGGAACCAAAAGTTCTTCATGAAATGAATCCAGTTTCATGAAACCCCCTTCTATAAGCTCACTGGACTGTGAACTACATGAAGGCACAAACCACATCTTCTCCCTGTGGTATCCCCACTACCTAGCATAACAACTGGTACAGAGTTTATCATTAAATGTTTGCTGAATTAACTAATGTATGTGTTGCATTAACTAGTCCATTAGAGGGGCACGTGTTTCTCTCCAGCTCATTTCCATCAATTCCCAAGAGTCTCAGATAGACAGAGCTGATTATACAGTAAAGAAAGGGACTTTTTTCAAAAGCTCTTGGTATTTATACATCTAAATGGATTAAGCATCGCCTTGGGATACCAGAGCTATGCACATATGCCAATGAGGATGCCATGGCTCAAAATACCTTTTCTAAACTCTCTCAGCATATGTTAGCCTCAAAAGAAAATCAGTCCTAATGGCTCCTCTCTTTGGGTTTGGTTGCTGGCTCCATGTGGAACTCTTCCTCACCCAATTATAAGATCAAGGATTTTAAAGGATAATAATGGTAGTAATATCTGCTAATGTGTATGACAGGCACTCTTCAAACACTATACATATTTAATGTTCACAATGACTTTGTGGGAATTAATGTCATTCCCACCTTACAGATGAGAAGACTGAGGCACAGAGAAGTTAAATAGCTTGCCAGAGTCATCTAGCAAAACTTGCCTTTGGAGTAGACCAAAAATGTCCTGACAGGAGCCAAGGACTCTTTCCTCCTGTTCCAATTTTACTTCCAACTCACCAGCTGCATTACAAGCCATTCCACATATTTTTTTTTTTTTTTTGTAAGGAGTAATAGCACACTGGGAAGAGCGAGGGAAAAATAGCTTAACTGATAACTGAACTGTGAGCAAAGGGAGGATGAAAGTACCTGAGAAAGACATATGAGAGAGTAAAGGCAAACCTGACTGTCCTCCCATTTTGGCCTAGGAGCAGCAGAGGTGAGCAGCCCCACCAGAAAGCCCCATCCAGGGGGGCACTCGGTTGCACACTGTGGCAAGGGCTCAAGTGTAGCAGTTCTCAGTGCTGGCCACAGGTTAGAATCATCTGTCGAATGATCAAAAGACTAATAACAATCAGAATTTCTGGGACCCACCTTTTGGTTTGTTTGTCCTGGAATGGAGATCTGGCATTGGGTTTATGGGTTTTTTTTTGTTGTTGTTGGGAGCCAGCCTTGGAGGCCCGCCTGATGACAAAGTCCAGGTGTGCTGAGGACTCCCCGGCCGCAAAGCGAGCCCGGGCAGCTGAGGCCCTTCTGTCTTCCATCTTTGCTGTTGATACAGCTGAAGAAATTCTGTGCAGTCATGAAAGAAGAAGATGGCATGTTTATGCGAAAAATCACAGCTAACCTGGAAATATCATGGTTTATTTTTCCATTTTTCCCACTATGCCACTTGGCCTTTTCTAACATATGCAAGGGTTAAACTCTGAAACACATCAAGAATGCTTTCTTTCACTTGGTTATAAGTTACGAGATATTACTCAAATAATAAATGATATAAGTATATTCACTCCTTATTTGATTTATAATTGTGTAATTTAGTATTTAGACATAAGAGTTTTTACAAGCACAAGTTTATAATAAGTTTATTATAAATTCATTATAAGTTCTAACACTTATCTAGGAGTTATATAGGTGATTTATAACACTGCTTTCACTAACTTAGGATAAAGATTAATATTAAGGTTTCTACTTAATTCTATAGTTAAAACTCTAAGTTAACATTTATAGAGTAGGTTTTCACTGAACTTAAAATATAATAATCAGACACTTTTATGATAGATCAACTAAAACAAAAAGTAACCTTGAGGGGCCTGAAAAGCATTACTAAAAGCTTCTTTTGAGTTCTCTTTAAAAACAAACACTGCAAAATAAGAAAAAAATAATGAGGACATCTGGACAAGAGAGACAATCACAGGACTCTAAAGAACATAAGAGCCTAAGATAAAAATATTCCTGACACATAAAAAAATATACACTTAAAAAAACTTTCTTAAAACATTTGTAATTTGGGACATTAGACTGAGAGTGTCATTGTTGGCTTTATAAATAAGACGTTGTCTAAATGCCTATGAAAATCTTGGTTTGTTTATTATTAAGACCACTAGCTGGTAACTTTTTAAAAATATGTATGTAAAAGAGTTTTCTTTGTCTTGCCCCTTCAAAAATGATATAAAAGCTCTGTATTAACTAACATTAAATTGTCATCTGTTCAAAAAACAAGTGTCCGGTTTATGATCGTTGTTGCCTATCTGTCTCTCCTTCAACACATCCCACGACCCTCGCAGGGTGGGCCCCCGCATTGTTTTGTTGTTGTTTGTTTGTTTTTGAGTTGGAGTCTCACTCCGTCACCCAGGTTGGAGTGCAGTGACATGCCCACAGCCACCCCAGCGTCAACCTGCTGGGCTCAGGCAATCCTTCCGCCTCAGTCTTCTGAGTAGCAGGAATTACAGGCGCGCGTTACCATGCCCAGTTAATTTTCTTTTATTGTAGAGATGAGGTCTTGCCAAGTTGCCCAGGCTGTTCTCAAACGCATGGGCTCAGGCAATCTCCTCACATCGGTCTCCCAAAGTGATGGAATTACAGGCTTGAGCCACCATGCTGGCCAGATTGATGTTTGTTAAGCTTCCAGGTGACTCTAACACACAGCTAAGATTTAAAGTCACAGTTTCAGCAATATGAACGTTCTATTTTACCAGAATATATCAACTGTCTTTAAAAACAACTTCTGGGGTAATTTTTTGGAGTTAAGAACATTAGGCCTGGAGCTCCACAAAATAGTAAA